TCATGGCTGCTGTTCGTGGTTCTTTTGAGGAAGATTATCGCCTCCTTCCTCGGTACTGTAATCTGATAACGATGACAAATCCAGGAAGCATGGCTCTTGTTTATGCAGATTCTGCTGATAACTGCTTTCAGCGCCTTTTTGTTTCGTATCATGCATCAATCTTTGGATTTCTAAATGCATGTAGACCTCTGATTGCACTTGATAAAACTCTCTTGAAGAACAAATACCTTGGAACATTGATGCTGGCCAGTGGTTTTGACGGAGAAGGTTCTGTTTTCCCTCTGGCATTTGCAGTGGTTGATGAAGAAAATGATGATAACTGGATATGGTTCATCTCTGAGTTGCGGAATCTGCTGGAGATCAATGCAGAAAACATGCCAAAACTCACCATATTGTCTGACAGACAGAAGGCTATTGTAGATGGAGTAGAAGCAAATTTTCCCACAGCTTTCCATGGATTCTGCATGAGTCATCTTGGTGACAATTTCCAAAGGGAATTTAACAATCCTATGCTCGTCAAATTGTTTTGGGAAGCAGCTCATGCCCTCACCAACTTTGAATTCGACCAAAAGATTCTTCAAATCGGAGAAATATCACCGGCAGCTTTTGCCTGGATCCAAAACAATCCTCCTCGATTCTGGGCTAATGCATATTTTGAAGGGACAAGATTTGGACATGCAACAGCAAATGTAGCAGACTCATTGAAAAGTTGGATACATGAAGCCTCCAGCCTTCCCTTAATTCAGATGATGGAGTGTTTTCGCCGGAAATTAATGATTCTGTTCAATGAGTGTCGTGAAAGAAGCATGCAATGGACCGGAACCCTTGTCCCCTCTGCTGAAGGCCATGTGCTAGAGGCTATAGAGCATGCAAGTGCTTGGCGTGTTCTGAAAGCAAATGAAACTGAATTTGAAGTTGTGTCCCAGGATGGAGCGTTTAGGGTAGACATCCGCAACCGCAGCTGTTGGTGCCGTGGGTGGGAGCTACAGGGGCTGCCCTGCACCCATGCCGTGGCAGTTCTTCATTCTTGCAGGCAGAATGTACATAGGTTCACAGAAAGCTATTTCACCGTGGCAAACTATCGGAAGGCGTACTCACAGACCATACACCCAGTACCTGATAGAACCCTTTGGAAAGATATGTTGGAGCAAGTCCAAGGCCAAGAGGAAAGTGAAGCTGAGGTAATTATAAGGCCGCCAAAGTCACTCCAGCCACCAGCACGGCCAAGGAAGAGGCGACTTCGGACGGAGGGTGTCGGTGGTCGTGCAAAACGGGTGGTGCACTGCAGCCGCTGTAATCAGACAGGGCATTTTAGAACGACATGTGCAACCCCTATTTAGGCACCCATGTTTGTTTCAACATATTCATTTTGTGTTCTTTGTGCAGACAGGGCAGGATGGATTTTCTTTTAGTTTTTTTTTTTCTTTTACTTCTTTTGATTTTAGGAAATCAGAGGGTAACTTTAGTGGCAAAGTGTATAGAAAGTGAGATAGAAAAATTTAGGTGTTACATTCAAACTTTTGGGTGTGGAAGGGAAACGTTGTCAGCAATTTAGATTCAATAGATTGATAGAAGGCCTAAAGTGTCTTTTGAACTGTAAGATAATTTAGGGTCTAGTGTTGTGATCCTTTTTGTACTATGTTTCATTAAACTATTATAATGTTTGATGGTAATTTGAATTTATTTTAAAATGAGTTTGTTTGATTTATATCTTAAGAGTATAAATTAAAAATATATTAAATATATTTTTTTATCATAAATTTATATTAAAAAAATAAAAATTAATTTTTAATTTATCTATTGTCTAATTAAATTCATATGACACACAATTAAATCAACTTTTATATTTTTTATATATATTTATAATAAAATTGTGTAAAAAATACACCATTATACTGTGCCTTAGGATATAGAATTGAAAAATCCTTTCTCAAAATTAATTCATTTGCAGTTTCATTTACATAAAAATTAAAGAATTTATAAAAAAAAATTACATTTTTTATTGATCTTTCCAAAAAATTAAAATTTAATTAATAAAATGAAAAGTAAATCTCTTCCTAATTAAACCACTACTATTTTAATGTTTGACACATTATTTGTTACGAGTATTTACAAATAGTGCATGGTTTTGTGAAAAAGCGTTGTGTGAGCAAATTCAAACACATCCCCAACTCAATGACATCGACCGAACAAGAACAATTTGGGCTAAGAGCGCAGGTGCCCTTTTATGTTTGGTTAAAACACGAATTTAGTCTCTTAACATTTAGATTTTATTGAAATTATCTTTTAACTTCAAAAAATATTAAAATTGTCTCAAACCTTAATTTTCAATACCAAAATAGTACTTTTGTTAATAAAAATGACACATAACTTGTTATCTTGCCACAAAATGAGTTTTCTTTTAAAATATTAATGACGTATAAAATTAAATAATCATATTTTACCATTACAATATATTTTTATTTATATATCAGATTAATATATAATCAAAGTTGAAAAATTAAATTAATAATTATAATAAAAGTTCAAGGATTAAGTTTTTTTCTTAAAGGTTCAAGGACTATTTTGGTATCTAAAATTAAAGTTTATGGACAATTTTGATACTTTGGAAGTTGAAGGATAAATTTGGTACAAATCTAAAAGATAAAGGACCAATTTAGTATTTTAACCTTTATGTTTTTCTTCTTTTTTATTAATATCAGTATTATCTTCTCTCTTTTTTTTTAACTAAGGTGCCATTCTATATTGATATCTTAGATTGCAAACTTAAATTCTTCTGTAATATAGTCGTATTTATAAACTTTTAACAAAAAAACTATTTTACAATTTTAAATTATAAAATATTAATTCTTGAATAAAAAATGAACTGCCTCATATTCGGGCTCCTCATCCAGAATTCTTTATTTAAAAATCTAAGACAATTTAAATTAGAAAATAAAAAATTC